CTGGGCTAGTCCACCTTTCTGTCGGAATACACTAATTTAAACTGCTCCTCGCATCAACATACCCCCCACCCCCACCCCAACGCCACGCCAGGCCACCCTCACCCGCAGCCCCCCACGCTTTGCTCTAGCGCCCGCGATCTGGCCAATAAGGACGCAGATCGGCCGGGGTTTAGCTCAGGTGGCGCGCACGCAGCCTCGAATGGAGAATAGGGGCGGCGCGGCAAAAGAGGGAGGGGTGAGGGGGGAGGGGTAAAGGTAGTTGAGATCGTGGGGAGGGGGCAGAGTACCAGCGGCTCACGTGCCAACCCCCTTCCCCGCTTCGCCCAAGTGCTGCGGCCCGCTTTGTGGTGTGAGGACTTTTGATAAGCCCTGCTAGGCCAGGAGGGCCCACCCGCCCGTCCAAATCGACGACCTGGCGCCGCGCCGCGCCGGGTACTTGCGGGGCGGAGGGGGACGGGCGGAGCTAGCGGCCTTCACGCTCATTGGCGACGTGTCAAACAAAGGAGAAACGTTTTCACAATGAGGTTGTACTCGGTGGGCAGCGTGTCGGGGCGTGTCGAGGCGTGGCCGGGCGTGGGTCGTTCGTGCCCCTCTTTGTTCCGCTCATCAGGGAGGCGCAACAGGGGAGGGGGCTCATCTGGCCCGGTTGCGACCCCCTGCCCCCCTCACCTCACCCGACCCCGGGGGGCCTCTCGCGTCAGCCGTAGGGGACGATTACATTACAGAGGGGAAGTTTTGTGCACCGCGCTTCGGTAATCGCATTATTCGGAGAGGGCGTGGCGGGGCGGGGAGGGGGAGGCGTCACCCCTATACACCCTGGTGACCCCTCCACGCCCACCAGGCGATCCAAGTGTGAACAACCCTCTCCCTCTCCGAGCGGCGTCCGTCAGCTCAGCGTCGCGGCGCCGTGGCAGGGGCCTGGCGGCGCCCAGCTGCGGGGCCCCGGCCCGGGCCCCGGGGCGCCCTGAGAGAGGAGCGGTCCCCCCGGGGGGCCCTGAGGGGGGCCCTGAGGGGGGTGGACTGGGCCCCGGGCGATAATCAGCGAGGACCGGGCGTCTGCAGACGAACGGCCCGGGCAAACAGATTATGCTGGGGGGAGGCCGCCCCCTCCAGTGGAGAAAGAGGACCCCCACCGCATCTTAC